CAGCTGATTTGGCTCACAGTTGTTTTCAGCTTTGTGAAATTGACCCTATTAACACACCAAGAAATCAAGAATGTATATGTGTGTGTATATACATGTATGTATGTATACACACCAGTCATATATTATATAATATAATAAACCAAGTGTGTGTGTATGTATGTATGTGTGTGTGTGTGTGTGTGTGTTGTGTATTATGAGTACTCCTATTGCATTCAGTGAGTCTATATTCTGCATAAAGGTACTCACATGCTTAAGTGTTCACAGAAAATTGGAGCCTAACTTTAGAAGTGATGTGACAAGGCAAAGTAACAAAAAAGCAGGTATGGGGCAGGTTCAGGAAGGACAAGATTTGCAGCATAAGATCATGCAGTTACTTGGGTTAGTTACATGCATACTTTGATGAGTCAATTAAAATAATTTTAACACATAATAATTATTGTTATTGAACTGTCATTTATCCCAGAAAGTACTTGTTTAAACATACAATAGAACAAAGTTAAAAGTGAAATAAAATATATCAAAAAACAATTACAGTAAAATATACAGTGGATAATTTATGGACCATTAAAGACATAAGCAAAGCAAGTCTTTTAACTATTCAATAAATAAAGAGCTGAAAAAGTATTTCAAACTTTATTAAAAATGTCCAGGAAACCTCTAAATCTCATTTTATGCTCCACTAGAATACACAGATTAATTTCCTTTTGGCTGCTGCTAGACAAGTAATCAAATTGGTTTTCCAGTAGTTGATCAGACATTGGCCTGCCGGAGAAAATTCAGTTCCCTAGAGGCAATTCCCGCAAACCTCTTCAGATGACTTGTCAGACAACTTTCTTCTGAGTCTTATAAATAAATGTATAAGCCCTGCTGCTCCACTATGTCTGTGCTGTACTCAGAAGTAGTGGAGAGGGCTAGCTGCAGGGAGTTGCTTGGGGTTCCCTGATTCAGAACCATCTAGCTCCAATACAAAGTCAAGGCTGAATGTGGGCAGCCCAATCTTACATCAGTGGAGAACTGGACATAGCAGAGCTCTGCTCTGTCGTTCTCCCCTGCCCCACCTTGCCCTGGTCCCAGACAACCCCCAACATACTCAAACATCATGAAACCAAATCATAATAGGTATTACCCAAGTGTCCGTTATTTTGTTCTAATTCTTTCTAACCTACCTCTTTGCAAATTACAATGTCTTAAGACGTATTTAGAAACTCAGAATGTACACTTGTTTCAAAAGATGGTGGATCAAATCTTGCAGTGCACCCTCAGTCCTCATTCAGGCAAGACTCGTTCAATGGGATGGCAGAATTTGGCCTAGACCATATGAAAAGGGAATGTTGTCTGCCATTCTGTAGTGTATCCATGGCTGCCTAACCACACACAGCATGAGGCCTGCTCCAACACCCATCAATGACAATGGAAAGTCTCCAATTGATTTCAGGGGACACTGGATCTGGCTCCCAAATCCTCAAGCCTTTCAATTTGAGATTATATGATGAGGTTGCCTGACATAACAGGGGACTGGACTCAATGACCCAGAAGGCCTCTTCAAAACCTATGTCCTATGAGATAAAAGAATAACTAGCTCTGTTAACTATAAGTAGCAGCCTTCTGTAGTTAGTTACTATATGCATAGCAGACAGACAAAGCAGTGTATTATATACTCCCTCTATTAGACAAACTCATGCTCAGCATCTGATGGGCCACAGGAGTTCAAGTCCCCTGTGAAGTAATAACGTATAATAGATCTGGGGTGTCTGTATATATGTGGCTACTGCTGCATGACAAAACAGAACCTGGATGGGAACTGCCATATTGTAATGAATCCATGGCTGCGTACCCCAGCTCATCACCAGGAATACCAACTTGGGACCTTCATCAGCAAAAGTTTAAGCGCCCACTGTAATGTAACACATACTTTTTCTCATCTTAATATTATCCATGGAGTGGTAAAATTACCACTATGCTCTACAGTACTTGTAGAATGACAAACTCTTGAATGGAAGACCCTATAACTGAATTAATACAGAATACAGGAGATGGAAACACCATTGGTGGGGATCAGGGCTGGATTAACCACTAGCCACAGTACACCCATGCATATGACTCCTGTGATGGTTCTTGGGGTACCCAAGCCTGTGAGTCAACTTGTTATCCCACCTCAAGCAAGAGAGAGTCTTTTTTTTGTACTAGCTAGGTGTCAGTGTAACCCACACACCACCTGGGTGTGGTGTTCTGTCCCATCTAGTGGCACCGAGACCACTTAGAAAGAGAAAATGAGTCTGCTCTACAGCCTTTGCTAACAGTCAGTTGGCTTTTAGCTCATGTGATAGAGACTCATTCGTTAAGCTCCAGAAGTTCCAAATTCAATCCCTCCCGCCAACGACCGGGGTCTGTCGGCATTACATCAACTTCCTGACATCATCAGTCTTTCAGCCACTCAAGCACTCTTCTCTGGGCCCTAATTTTGCCTTGCAGGTTAACAATAGATGCACCCCAATATCCAAGCTACCTTAAATAACTCCCCTGTGATAGCCAGCCCTTGACACTGGCTACTCACAGAAATTCCAGTGCAGTGCACCCGTTTACATTTTTACTTTAAACCACTGCTCCTGTAAACCACATGTCACTTGTGAGCACTTATGATAAAACAAAATAAGGTTTATTTAAATAAGACTAAAGATATAACTAGAAATAAGAGAGTGGTGGAAACAAGTGGTAACAATACAGAGCAAAATCATAAAATGTGATCCTGGGTCTACACTTATCAATAGTTACCTTCCCTATCAATAAAGTAGATTTTCCACAAAAGTTCAGTCTCTATTGCAGAGCTGGCTGGTTTTTCAATAAACAGTATCCAAAATGTTAATGAAAGCACCCTTGCTTCCCAAGGCATTTCCTCAGTGAAGGGATACACTCTGCTATAGTCTTTTGTTTCTATTCATGACCATGGCACAGCTCTCTCTGTCGTAATGTTTCTTTTTCACTTCTAAGTGGTTTTGATTGTTTGATAGTGCCTCTGATGGTTTGCCATTGATAGTTTTGGGAGGGAGCAAGGCTGATCAACTGAGCCTTGCCTTACCTTGCCAGCTAATTAGGGAAGGGTGACAACTCCCTCTTGCTTAGATGAGCTATTCTCAAGGCACGTTACCCCGTGGCGATTAATTTCTACTCCAAGTCCATCAAGCGCACTTTCACTATAAATACATTGTTCTTTAATATTACCCGTACATACATCTCACAATAGTTATAAGTCTGGAGAAATTACAAGCTTTCTGTAGACATGTCACATGATATCCTTTATGAATAATTACCCTTCAAGAAATGTGTTTGGTGTAATGAGTTTGTCAGCCTGAGATGAGAGCTGTTTCCAAAAAAATAGGGGACCTTTTGTCATGGGGTCTCTGTGACACAGGTCTGGAGTCATATGAAGACATTACAGTGACATCATCATGTACAGCCTGTAGCATAAGGCTGTATACTCCTGTGGAGCAAAAAAGCCTATATAGAAAGCTGTGATCTCAGTCCCATGGAATAGAGACCACTAAGGAGAATACCATCCCCACCCTCCCTGGGACAGAAAGCTCTGTGTTGAAAGCTCCTATGCCACTTTAGTAGACCCCTCAGGGATGGCCAGTTAGTAGCATCTACAGTACCCACAAAGCACCCTCTGCTGTTTTGTCAGGAGGCAACTCCCCATAAGGGTGCCCATGCCACAACCATCCAAAGCAAAATGTATGTCTGTCCGTCATATGAAACAATGCCATCACAGCATCTGTGTGTTTTCTTGTGGCGGTATAGTCCAACCTGTGAGGAGCAATGTCATGAGCAGATATTGCATAGGAATGCATAGGCTCCCACTGAAGACTTTCAATGATACAAGGCTCTTTTTTCAATCAGTTTTTCGCATTTGCCTTTCTCAATGTGTTTACAACCTTTATTGACAGCTGCTCTCCATTCAGGTCTGTCCTTGGAAGTTATGAATTTTTATGCCACATGAACTGAAATTCTTCTGAAGGATGTCTTTGAAGCATTTATGTTTTCTGAGTCTCAGCTCACCATAGAGGACTTTTGCCGGGAGTCTATTCTCACCCATTCTGATAACATGACCTGTCCATCTAAGTTGAGCTTTGATAATCATTACCCTGTTGCTGGTTGTAGCAAAGGGTAGCCATAGCAGAGGCAGGACCCTAAGGCCCTTGTATGGGATGTGGAAATGGCCTGGGTTGCCTTGATCCATAACTTCATGATAGAACAGGATTTGAAGAACGGTGCCCTTCACACAACTTAGAAGAGCCTCTGCTTTCTGTATGCCTATGGGACATATGAAGTAAGGGTTGCGCTAAGTGCAGAGGAGACAACACTGACAGTTGTGACAATGCAGCAGCCTTTTAGCCTTGTTTATTGTCGAATTGCCATCTCGGGGGAAGGGGACATTGAAACTGCTTTCTAGTTACAATGTTGTCAACGTTTGTGATTTTTATTACAAGTCACATGATATTTGGTGTTTTCTTGAAGCCCCAGCTCCTGGAGTCATTTGAATGCATGAGAATCTCTGCTTCCACTTTGTTTTTAAAGTATATTTCTAGTGCTGGTGTTGCAGAGAATAGCTTGAAAACACAACCCAAGTACATCCTAAAGATTCAGAACCTAGAATGCAAATAAAAAGAAACCCAGTGTATATATCTGGGGGAGGGGGGGAGCGGAAACATGATTTTAAGCTATGGTGATATCTGAGAGCTTGTGGCTTGTTCACTCAGCATCCCATTGGCTTTGCCCCTCTGGGTGTGTGGATGAGTCTCAGAGCTTTGGGTAGGGCAGATTAGTGGAAAAGGAAGTTCCCCCCATGGGAGGGGAAACTGAGTGAGCATCACTATGTTCCCTCCCCTCCCCCATCATATCGGAAGTGATTTGAGACCCAGCGTTGCCTCGGTACTTGCACTTCTGTGCTCCGGCCACCTCCCCGCTCCCTGAGACTAGGGTTCCCCCTGAGACGGCGGCGACACCAGGAGCAGCAGGAAGGGAGGAGCGGCCGCCGCTGCTTGTGTGTTTGAGCCGATCCGCTCCCGGGACCACAGGGAGGAGAGGCCGCGGGGAGCGCGGACCAGACGCCCTCGCCCTGGAGAGGGTGGCGGGAGGAGCAGGCGGGAGCCCTTGCGGCTCTGCCGGAGGCTGGCGATGGAGGAAGGTGAGAGGCTTCATGGCGTGTGCCCCCGTATCACCCTCCCCCGGGGCGCTAGGCCGGCCATGGCTGTGGGCCGGGGGGAGGGGCTCTGCCGGGGGGCGGGGGGCGTTAGGAGCGGCGGGGCCGGGGGGGGGGAGGATTGGTGCCAGTGACAACGGGGGCTGCTCGTGCGTCGCCCCGGCTTGGCGCGGCCGTGAAGTTCCAGGGGCGAGTCCGTGCCGGCGCGGGGCGGGCTCCCCTCGCGCGCGGGGGGCAGGGGCAGCCTGCGCTCGCCGTGGGTGGTCACTGGCCGTTTGCCGTTGGACGTGCGGTGTGGGGTTGCCCCGGTGATGTAGGTCACACGTGAATGTAAAAACGGCAGCGCAGCCGATCGCGTGAGGTTAAATGGCAGGAGCAGGTGTCAGGGGGCGCCCCAGGTTACTGCTCCGGGCTCGTCTTCGTGTGTTTTTAAAAATATGCGTTTACCTAAATTTCACAAGGTTTTTTATGTGCCTCCGTGAGCCTGCGCCGTTGTTTTGGTTTGCACCAATTGGAGGAAATCATCATCACCCTCTAGTCACCCTGCGCTGTGTGAAGACAGAGCTAAACTTCTCATTCGTCAGTTGGCTGCTTACAGACCACTTGTTGCTTTATTAATTGCAAATCTGTGGCGCTGTCTTCGCTACTGTGTACTCTGCAGTGTCTTACTGATCACAAATCCACCTACTCCGTGCTCTTTTCCTTTGACTCTAAACCACACTAGATGAAACAATGGTAATGCTTAAAATCATTGGATTTCTAAAAGTTCTGTAAATGGGAAATTTCTCTAACTGCAAGTACAGTAACTCCTCGCTTAATGTTGTAGTTATGTTCCTGAAAAATGCGACGTTAAGCAAAACGATGTTAAGCGAATCCAATTTCCCCATAAGAATTAATGTAAATGGGGAGGTTAGGTTCCAGGGAAATTTTTTTCACTGGAGAAAAAACTATATATTATATAGATATGCACACAGTATACATTTTAAACAAACAATTTAATACTGTTCACAGCTATGATGATTGTGAAGCTTGGTTGAGGTGGTGAAGTTAGAGGGTGGAAGAGGGAGGGATATTTCCCAGGGAATGCCTTGCTGCTGAATGATGAGCTAGCACTCGGCTGAGCCCTCAAGGGTTAACACATTGCTGTTAATGTAGCCTCTCACACAAGGCAGCACGAACATGAGGGAGAGGAGACAGCATAGCAGACAGAGACAGACACGCACCTTGTGTGTGGGGGGGGAGAGAGAGAGATGCACACTGCCCCTTTAAGTAAGCTGACCCACTCTTAAGTGCATTATCTTTTTAAGTGGATCAGGAAGTTGAGACATCAGCTGCTGCCCCAAGCTCTCTCTGTCTCTCTCCGTCTGTGTTCCCTCCCTGCTCTATATGGAGAAGGGGTAAGCGGGGTGCAGGAGCAGGGGGGAGGGGGACACCCTGACATTAGCCCCCTCCTTCTCACCCTGCACAGCAAGCAGGAGTCTCTGGGAGCAGCTCCAAGGCAGAGGGCAGGAGCAGCACATGGCAGTGGGGGGAGGGACAGCTGAACTGCCAGCGATAGCCTGCTGGGTGGCTGCAGCACAGGGAACTTAGGGGAGCGGATGGAGGGCTGCCGGTCCACCCTGGTTACAAGCTCCCACCTGCTAGCTGCAATGGGCTGCTCTTCCTGCAAGCAGTGGACAAAGCAGGTGGCTGCCAAACAACGTTAGAACGAGCATGAACATTGCACAACTTTAAACGAGCATGTTCCCTAATTGATCAGCCACGTAACAACGAAACAACATTAACCGGGACGACTTTAAGTGAGGAGTTACGGTACTGATTTTATGAATAAAACCTGTGGCACTTCTGGAGCCAGAGAACAATGATACCATATCCAGATGTTCCAAAATTGGGATGAGTTTTATGTTAGAAACATGGGACTATTCTTGTCAGGATGCCGCCATTTTAAAAACAAAATAAATGTACTACTGTAGTTAAAGTTTTACAGTATTTGAAAGACTAGAGAGAAGAAGATTTTTTTTTCAATGTATTTTGTGTTTTGAAATCACTCTGTGCACAGTCAGTTTTCCCTTGTTGCTTATGTAGGTATAACCCTTCTTCTCACCCCCAAAAATAAAGGAACCAGAAAAATCTTGTAAAATCACAGAAGTTGGCAGGGAGTTTTAAGGTTTGTGTTGGCTCCTGAAACTACTGTTGAAATCTAGTCAGTTTCATAACATGAGTTAAGTTGACATTGTCCCCTTGTAAGTTATTTTAGCTCCTACAGAAACACTGAAACTCTAATCCTGCAACTGGACCTGGATGGGTGAACCCTGTAAAATCGATGGCACTCCAAGTGAGCACGAGGATCCAACTCAGAGATCTAATTGCATATAATTTCATAGTTTTTAGGATAAACCAGAAAACCTTGATGATTACTGTCTGCTGGTCATCGCTGTTGCATGAAAGTATCCAAAAATGCATTGTTTTGGTGTATGGTGCTGAATATCCAGAAGTAACATCTTTATACAGTTGTCAAATCTGTAATCTCAACACTGCACATGTAAAATAATCAAATAATTCTGAGCTATAAATGAATTTAACCCAACATCATTTTATAAACAATTAAAGCGAAGCCTTCCTGATATGGCTGTGCAGAAAGTAAGCTGAACAGAGGAGGTCTTTTAACTAAAAGTTGAAGACAATTGTACTGGGAACCTTGGAACACTATGAAGTGGTCATTTAAGATGAGAAGTTGCTGGAGGTGAAGGAACTGGAGCAGGGGTTCGTTCTCAAACTGGGGGTCGGGACCCCTCAGGAGGTCATGAGGATATTATGTGGGGGGTCGTGAGCTGTCAGTCCCCACCCCAAACCCCGCTTTGCCTCTAGCATTTATAATGGTGTTAAATATATTTAAAAAGTATTTTTAATTTATAAGGGGGGTCGCACTTAGAGGCTTGCTATGTGAAAGGGGTCACCAGTACAAAAGTTTGAGAATCACTGAACTAGAGGCTGTCATAAAATCAAAATCCTGGACTTACTTTTAGTTGTCACCTTGCTTGTCTTTTATTTCACCTAATTAAAAGGACTTACAGAAGTGGAAACAACATTTTTTTTTCTTGTTTAAGGCAATTGCAAATCAAACAGACATAGCATACTTGTATATTTTGTTTATTGATTTTGGTAGCTGTTGAGCAATCCAAAAAACCAATGTCCAGATCATTTTGTTGACTGATCTGTATTTATATCAGAATTGGAGGTTTTAAGTTTTTTCTTTTGGGATTTTTCTGTGATTACTGATAAATTCAGAATTTACTGCAAACATCTGTTATCATTAAAATTTAGATTGTTTGCCAAATATATATATATATATATGTAGGCACTAGCTGCAGTGGTACCCTACTGATATTGCTCTGGTAATAGCTGGTATGACAGAGTAAGGTATCTAAGCTTTCCTTCTAAAATGCACACAAAATATCAATTAACACTTATTGCTCACCCAACCATGTAGATTTTACTTTTTCATATTGTATAAACACAAATTATGTGTCTGTTCTAGTACACTGAGTTTTTAACATTACTGTCTAACTTTTTTTAATCTCTTCGGAGCAAGGTGGGAACTAATTTATGTTTATTTGGATTTTTATACCATGCCGCAATCATCAAATTTGAGCGCCCTAGAGATTTCTTTTGTCAATCATATTCCCAAACCTGCTCCCATTGAAGTAGATGGAAACTTTGCATTGAGTACAAAAAAGACTGTCAGATTATAGATAGATTATCCCTAACCACACACAATCTATATATTTTGCTGAAAATATATTTTAAAACATCATTGTGTTTAAAACGTATTTCCTAATAAGCCAGACACCAATTTGAACCGTCTATTTGTATGTTATATCCTTTTCCCGTACTTCTAAGTCTAATGACTGGAAATTGAAGCTAGACAAAGGCCTGGTCTACACTACGACTTTAATTCGGATTTAGCAGCGTTAATCCGAATTAACCCTTCACCCGTCCACACTACAGAGCCAGTTAATTCGAATTAAAGGGCACTTAAAATCGATTTCTGTACTCCACCTCGACGAGCGGAGTAGCGCCAAAATCGATTTTGTTAATTCGAATTAGGGTTAGTGTGGCCGCACACCACCGAATTAATGTGGTTAAATTAATGGGGTAGTGTGGCCGCACACCACCGAATTAATGTGGTTAAAAACCGAATTAATGTGCTTAGTGTGGCCGCGCACAATCGAATTTATACAACCTGTTTCCCAAATTCGAATTATCTAAATTCGGATTAATCCCGTAGTGTAGACATACCCAAACTTAAACTGTAAATAAGTGCAATTTTTTAACAGTGAAAATAATTAACAATTGGAAAGGTTTACCATAGGATGTGAAGATTGACGTCTTTAAATTAAGATTGGATGGCTTTTTAGAAGAGATGCTCTAATTGAGCTCCCAGTTACTGGATGAAATTCTGTGTCCTATCTTATGTAGTAGGTCAGACTAGATTCATAAAAATGTTCCCTTGTGGTCTTAGTATCTATGAATTAGCCTGTTTGCACTTTAGATTGTAAAATCAGGGTGGGGGCTTAGACTTCATTTTTGGAAAACATTATGGATTCTATGGAAAATAATGATAACGAGAGCAGAAACAGGCCTATAATCTTACTATGTGCCTTCATTAAATGACTTGCTTTTTAAACTATATGATTCTTGGTTAAATTAGCATGTATGGATTTAATTTGAGTAGACTTGGAAGTTAAAAAGGTCATCACTATTCATCTTTATCTTTTAAAATCTTGACTATATAAAAGTAGCAGTAACAGGCAGTTCTTTTAAAAAGCAATGTGGGCCTGATGCTGATCTAACTTACACTAATGTAAATAACAAGTCAGTGAAGTTACACCAATGTAAAAGCAGTGTGAGAACAGAATCATGTCTATATCCATTAATTTAGACAACCTGCTTTCTCCATTGTATGCTAAAGTAACTATAAAATAAAATAACAAACTTTCAGTGAGGGTTCTAGTGATATCACAATCCCCAAAGCAAACTTTAATGAATTCTCAAAAGGATCTCATGATGGAATCAATATGTATTACCCTCTTGTATGTTAGTTATATATTCAATATAAAGGTAGAAAATTGATTTAACACATTTTTGTTTAATGGGACTTTTATTGAATATACTCTGTGTGAGGTTGCGTCAGTAACAATAACTGCTGTGTAGATTTCTTAGAAATGATACTATATATTGCAATAACTTCTGGGAATATCTGAAGGGGCAGCAGACCTGCGACAAAGAAAGAAGCAAAATTGCACAGAAACTGACAAAATGGCTCCAGATGAGAGAAACAAAGAAAACCCAAACCTGGGAAGATCGCCAAAATGTAAGCAGCACCATTTTCTGTTAACGTCTCATTTTTTATTGTTCTTCTTAAACTATGTAAATTGTATGGAATTATGTTTCTAGTACAATAATTATAGAATAATTATTTTGAATGAGATTCTTTGGATGATTTAAAAAATACACACATGCCCTTCAAACTACTTATGGTGCAAGTTTGCATATCATAAAGTAAAATGATAGTGCTTGATCATTTCAATTTTTTGCAATGTGCAAATTGCATTTCTTCTTATAGAAAATCTCTGCTCAAAGTTGCACGTTTTTGCCTGTTTAAAAACAAAACACTCCATTCAATTTACATGTGCGTGTATTTGTACACACTTGCATCCTTTAATGGAGTCTGGAATTTTCTAGTAGCTTATAAGTTAGGACGGTTGAATTGATCTGCAGCAGGAATAGAGGAACTAAAATAGTTCTAGTTTTTTAAGAAATAGAACAACTAAAAGCTGTTGTTGTTTTATGTATAGGCAGTTCAATAAGTTTGTTACAGACTCTTAAACATTTTGAATACAAAATAGAGGGAGCTAGAGTTGAAATGGGTGCTGATTGAATTAAATAAATCGGTAAATTCCAAAGTAGCTCTGCCCTATCACTCATGAAGAAGAAAAAGGAAACGGTAATGTTAAAGTATTGGTGGCAGTTTTCTTGAGAGCTAATGAATTATTACCTTCTGTTGCCTGTATACATCTATTACAGTGTGTGTAATAAAATCCAAAGATCAGTGCGGTTTTCTCTAGGATGTATTTTCTTCACTAGATTGTTTCAGAAATCATGACAGTTAATATGGGGGTAAATTTTCAGCATGATGTGTAGGTATTTATCTATGAAATCCCCATTCGGCATTAGTGAGGACTGAGGGATAAAACCCCCTTTCAAGGAATGCAACTCTGCTATATGGTTTCTTCATGTGTCTGCAATGAAATATTAGGTTAATTTTAAGGGCCTTAACTTGTTGAATTGAAAGTAAACTAGTCATAGTGAACTTAAAAAAAAAAAAAAATTGGCACATTAACAAAAGTGCTGTATTTCTCTGAAGTATCTTTGCTTTTTAATATTCTTTTACAGATGTCTTATTTCAACGTTTTGCAAAGCTTTTCTTTGGCTGTGTCGCAGCTGTCACTAGCGGGATGATGTATGCTGTGTACCTCTCAACATACCATGAACGGAAATTCTGGTTTTCCAGCAGGCAGGTAAAAAAGTAGAATAGTTCTGAAACAATGTTATATTGTGTTTTTAATTCTCCCCATTAATCAGGATGTCAGGTTCAAACTTCTGGTTCCTGCTTTCAAATCCCTAAATCATATAGCCTTTGCTTACATTTGTGACAAGGTCGCTCCTTTGTATCCTTTCTGCCAATAATGCCAATCTTAATTCCCCTCGTCTCCTATAACGTATGTCTTCATGCCATTTTCTGTCCTGTTCTTTATGGTTCGAACACCCTTCTAAAGTCTCTTGGAGAAGCCTCCACCCCCTGCTCATTCAAATCACTCCTGAAAACTGACTTCTGCAGCAGTGCCTACATAATATTCTATGCACTATAAAAAAAAATAAAAATCCTAAAATGGAGCCACCCATATGTACATATGCCTAAACTGAGTAACTGCATAATGGTGGATATAATGTATGTCTGTCCTTACCTCATCCCATTCTGGTGGATGCTGTATCCTCGCTCATTTAGGTTGCAAACTCTCTGAGAAGGGACCTGTCTTATCTGCTGCTAGACATTAGAAACTTCTTGGGTTCTAATTCCAGTTCTGACCCCAACTCACCCTGTGTCTTGAGCATATTATTCATGTGTTCCTGATTTCCCATATGTAAAATGGAGATAATGCTTTTTTTACAGGGATTTTGGATTCATTAGTAGTTAATATTTGCAAAGCACTATACCAGGGGTCGGCAACATTTGGCACACGGCTCGCCAGGGTAAGCACCCT